CCGGGTTTTTGTGAGGATTTGACGTTGACAGGAATATTGTGTTTAATGGCTAGTTTTGTGTAAGTGTGGATAAGTGCACAAAACATGTTTCAAGTTTCAACATTAACTCCATAACTAAATTTAGACCTACCCTCAAATACAACATTTCGATATACTCTGCGAGACGTATGCCTAACGTAACTAGCTTTGTTAGATAAACAAATACGTAAATAGCCACGTAACTGAATAAAAGAACAGACCAGACACGTCTCAATGAATACTCAGTAACTTTTCATTAAAAACTGAATGCTTCAGTGATTCTTGCATTTATAATGTATCATTCTTTCTAAATATTACCCCCCCTCCCATTGGCTCAGCGGTATAGCGGTATGTGTGCGCTAAAATCCAGGTTTCGATACTTGTGGTGGGGCAGAGCACAGATAGTCTATTGTGTAGCTTTTAGCTTAACTACAAACAAATAAACTTTCTAGATATTAGTCAGATTTAATAGATCTTAACCTCATATATCTTATAGCTAATATCTAAATTAGAACAATGAAAATATATTTGCGAAACTCCTGCCCTTTTGAACCTTAACTGTATTTTAATGGATAGAGAAATTTAAATATAGTTTTGCAAAAACTGCCGAACAGTATGTTATAATTTTAAATTCATAATATCGTGGACAATGTTTTTTTTATTATTTTAATGTTTTATTTGCTTGAGGAAGTTTTTTAATGATGTAATAGTTTTGTTCGTTTGCTTTGGGTTTCGCATAAAGCTACTCGAGTGCTATCTTTGCTAGCCTTCCCTAATTTTGAAGTGATAGTTGGAAGGAAAGCAACTAGCCAAAACCACTTATCACCAACTCTTGAGCTATTTTTTACCAACAAATAATGGGATTGACCATTAACACTCCCATTAAATGAAAGGGTGAGCATATTCATTGGTGTGAGTTCAGAAGTTTCAAGAATGTTTAGGCCTCTGTAGATTATTGAAGCTTGTAGAAAACTAGTACAATATAGAAATACTAGACTGAATGAGTTAGTTAATTACTCAGTTCAGAGAGTTAGCTAGTGAACCTGTTCGTCAGTGATCGAGTTAGTAATCAAGTTATTTAGTCAATCAATAAATTTGTTATTGATCAATTAGAGTAGAATTCTTAAAAGAAAGTGACGTGAGCTTTATATTTTTGAGTGAAGTATACTTTGGTTTTAGAGTTGCTGTTGAAACGTAGTTTGTTAAGTTAGGCCAACCAGTAAATATAATCTATACAATATTGTTACGTCTCCGTTCGCTAGTTAACTTTCCGTAACTTCGTTCCGACGAAACTTTAGCGACAGAAGTCCTTTCTTAAATAAAGCTGGTTTATTCTTTCCGAATACAACTTTACCGATACACTTAATCTCAACAATCGCTCTATAACAAACTATAGTTCACGTCTCACGAGCTCTACTCCAACAATACGTCTCTCTCTGACTGCAGTTCAATTACTCACTTCCTACACACACACTGTTCCGTCACGCCGTCACCCTCTTATATATACCAGTCTACCCTATATCTAGTAATC